AAATATTTTAAAAATATATTTTATTAATAAAATAAAGAAAAAATTATATGTAAAAATAGCTAAAATGGTCATCTACAGTAACTTCAGCCAATACAGCCAGAAAAGTAACTCCAACCTTACTTTTTCGGCTTATTACACAATTCAGCGCGCGAAAGTAAAAGTTACGTGTTTGGTGAAAAAGCTGGCTGATAAGTCTGATAAGCCAAAAACAGAGGACTCCAAACGGGCTCTTAGATTCTTTCGGAAGAAGGATATTAGGGCTTGGACTGGTTCGGTTCCTTGATATATTTTTAGGAACATTTGAAGAACTGTTAATTTCATAACGGTTCAGTTTCTATAGTTTTTCTTAAGATTCAATACATGGAGCGTTAATGTCCTTACAGTTTGGTTCTTCTACTTTATTGGTTAACTGTTAGAAAAGACCAACACCAAGCTAAAACCATTTAACAAGTAAAAAGACCCCTAAACCCTAAATATTGAATGCCTTAGATTTGCTATAAAATTTAAAGATACTACGTATAAACTAGACTCTAAACATATTTGTTGATTTTTTAGAAGAACCTTGATTACCATTTTGTTATGGTATTCGATAATGAAAGTATATGTTTGTGTATATAATTATATAGGGCCTCGTTTTCGGTGATAACATTTCTTCCCGTGAGAAATGAGAATGATCTGAACGTTTCAAATTATGGTTCATAGCAGTGCACATTTGAAATGGGCAGAATAAGTTGAATCTATTTACAAAAATGCCACCACATTTGTAATGGTAGTGTACATTTTTGTTTCACATAATTCACAATTCCCAAATCTAAAACTCTAGATTCATTCTCATTTCTCTTCATAGATCGTGTTCTCATTTGGTCCAAATTCTATATATAATTTGAAATACTAGTTCTTTAATGTTTCTTGCAATTATTTTTAGCAGGAATAAAAATCTGAACCCTTGAACTACAACCAGGACGCAAAATATTAAGAAATACTGAAATAGTAATCTATATGCAAGAACTGTCTTATTGATTCAAATTCGGAAATCCAACCCATAGAGGATATTGATGCATTTCACTTTTAAATGGTTTCATTCTTGTTATATATTTATTATATTTATAAGAATCTGCGCGTGCGACGGTGCGAGTGTGTCACATGTTCATACATGCATGGATGCACACATACATACATGTGCATGCATTCTTGTTTTGTTGTAACATCACTTTTGCCAAAACATTATCTTGACCATAATATACGTAGTATATTTTATCCATATTGCTAAATAATTACAAGTTGGTATTTTGAAAATATGCTTTTATTGAAATCTGACACCATTTTATATAATATGATTTGTTTTTATATATTAGTAAAAAATATGATCAAACTACAGTATGAGTAATACAAAAATTGAAGTGGTGCAACTAATGATACGTACACAGTGATTTGGAATAGAAATATTATTGATACTGTAGAAAACCATAAGAATACTGCCGAGACCAATTCAAGAGGGCCTCGATCTCTCCCAGATTCCAATTCTTACTCCAATCCCGACTGCCCTCTCCAAATTATATTCCTTCTATTTATTCTTTTCCAATGAGGCTTGCCCTCAATCTTACTAATTACATGCCCCAGCCCACTCATTTATTTACACCTTATTAACATATTCATTATTATTTCTATTACTTCTCTCGCCATAACTTCAGGTCCGTATCAACTATCAACTAAGAAGAGAAAAACTATGTTATTCTTACACTACTTTAGCTTGGGATGATCTTCTGTAACAAGATACTTGCAATAGATTACCTGCAGGATCAGCTCACATTAAGCAACTCAGATAAGGAAGTTTTGGAGGAAGAAACTGGGAGGTTAAAAGAGGAACTAGAGATTTCAAAGGCTGAGGGGTTTATGTTGTTGGAAAATTTGGAAAGCAAGGAGTTGGAGCTTCAGAGTTCATCTTTGTTAATAGAGAAACTAGAGGAGTCTATTTCATGCGTGGGATTGGATTATCAATGTGAAATTGAGAGCCTGAAGCTTGATCTAACAGCATTGGATCAAAATTGCCTTGAACATAAAAAGTCGCAAGAGCAGACAGCTCAAAGAAATGCATCGTTTCATGATTTTCAGCTTCACTTCCAGAATACAGGGGACTATATTGAATATTTAGAGAAGGAGAATGCAATTCTAAAGGAACAACTTCAAACATGTGAAAAGAACGTCAAAGTGTTTTGCCAAAATGTGGAAGAGCAATTTCCAGAATGGATAATTACTGGGCATGAAGAAGTCCCAGAGAATAATGCCAGGTAATATATACTCTTTTTTGCTTACATGTGTTCAGTATACAGATGGTGACTTGGAATATGAAAACCTTAACTGAATCTCAGCACCAGTGACTTCATGTTATTGAATAGTGCAATTTAGTAATTGAAATATACGAAGTATATGTTTGTATGCATGTATTCTTTACATTGACCAGTGAATAATTTATGAAAAGAAATGGAGATTTGGTGTGGGGTCTTGTTAGATACATGGTGTATTTACGTGAGGAAGCTTCTTTATCGGTCAAAACTGTGAAAGTTAGACACAATGTGTATAACTCAAGTCTTTTTCTCTCTTTCTCTCTACCCAAAGCTCATGTGGAGACATTTTGGGTCCTCTCCTTACCAAACTCGCTGTTCTAGGGGCATCCACAGTCAACCGTAAGGATGAGACAAACACAGTGTCCCATCAAATACAAAGATACGAATCTCTTTTGGCAAAACTTAAGGTATGATTAAGAAGTGAAATCATCTACTGCATGTCTGCATCAAGACTTGATTATGGTTTAATTTATAAGAAAAGCCATATTTAACTTTTATAGAGTTTATATAAAATGTTGGGTTAGGAAGAACTGAAGCTTGAAAGGTTAAAGGCAAAAGAAGAAGCAGAGGATTTAGCTCAGGAAATGGCAGAACTAAGATACCACATGATGGGGTTGCTTGAAGAAGAGCAAAAACGGCGTGTATGCATTGAGCAATTGTCTTTGCTGAGAATCTCAAAGCTGGAGGCTCAGGTATCCAATAATTTTATACATTGTAGCCCAAGGTGCTGATTGAGATAAAGACATGTTCATTTGGACTGGAATATCCTGGTCTGGCCCGGTCTAGTGTGTTTAAGAATGGTCCGGTCTTTTGTGTTCTAGTTTGATGTTATGTGTATTTTATTACGGAGTATTACTTAATGATAGTCTATCCTTCTTTGGCCTGATGTGTTTGAGACTGGTTTTGCGATCTGTTGTGATCTGGTCTAGCTGGCTGGGGTTGATACAATCCCAAGCGAACATGTCTTTTATTGTCATTGTAATGATAAATATTATTATATTAATGAAGCTTGATAAAGAACGAAAGAAATCAGATGAACAAGAGCTTGTGAAAACTATCTCCACTTCCGAATTTGCCCCTGAAGCGTAAAACACCGGTTGTGCTTCTCGAGGTCTGACTGCCAAGACAAGAGGCTGTTTTTTTACTTGCTAGAGAGGGAATGCTGAGGTGATCATCTTCAGTATGCTACTATCCATCTCCAACCCATTGGAGATTGCATTGCTGTGCAGTGGGGTTTTCATGGCAAATTTGATAAAACTGTATGTGTAGTAGGGATTAGAAGTCAAGTTTTCATGTCACTTTTGAGATCTATTTTGAGAGCCGGTTATGAGGCATGGAAAATAGACCGAGTGCCAATGTTCCATAAAGGTCGATAGTACTTTTAGATTTGTCAAATGAGAATGTGATCTATTGATGTTGAAAAGAGTAAGAATGAATCTTGTGCTTGAATTTGAGAGTTGTGCATTGTCTATAATAGAATGTACACCCGCGTCATGAACTAGAAATTGTACATCGACATTTTCTTAGTAACTTGAAGTATTTTTTTGTTTCGGTAAACCGTGCCTATCTTAAACACAAATATGCATTACCATAAATTAGAATTGTGCAACATTCTCAATTTGTATTGGAACAACTTTCTCATCTTAATCGGAATATTTGTGAGTGTGTGTGTTTACTCTTTTTGTTCTTCAATGTGTTTCAATTATATTATTAATTGGTGAACACAAGTATGTTTTACTATCTTTTTTTGAATATCAATAGAACCTCTAATGTACATTTAAATACATAAATTTAAATTATTAGCAATTATTTAAATTATAATTGAAGTGATTATCTTTCCCACTAGTCAAGCTAAAAGTAAATTGCAACTTTTGGTTAGATGGGAAATAGAAAGGGCGTTACCGTTTTTTTACAACAATTCAAAATGTGGAAGAAGACTATCTTTCTTGAAAGCACAATGAGGCTTGATTACGGAAAACATTTTGAGAAAGAATTGAAGCATTTTCTAATTTTTCCTGAATACCCCATATAAATAATTTGCTATATTTCTTACTGCATCCTAATTGTAAATGTGCTAGAATGATGTCTGGAAATGTCTTGTACAATACTGATAATAGGACTATTTGTCAGAATTAAAAGTTAAAGCATACGTTTGATTAGAATATCTTCATTCTTCAAGGTCTCTATATTTGAGAGAAAAAAAGATCAACCATGGGCGGAGCTAGGGGTGGGCCAACCTAGGCCATGGCCCACCCCAAAATTTAAAAATGGCTTAATTTTTAAGGTGAAAATTTTCATGTAAAATTTTTCCTAAAAATATTCTTTGTACTGGCCCAGTGCTCTGGCTCCGCCCCTGAATACAACGTATTAGTTTGTGAATTTAATACAAGTTTTACTACAACTTACCTTACCTATAATTTCTTTTTGACAGAAATGAAAACCAACAAAAAAAGATTCCCTTTGATTCGTTCAAGAAAGGTGAATAATAATAAACTCTTTTCTTTTCAAAGAAGAATGCAATGCCTTCCAAGAAGAGGTTTTGGATTATATTGAAACAAAAACACTACATGGCTTTTGATTGACTCATAAGATAAGCCAATAATCCGCTTCTGCATCCTATAAATAACGGATATTCAAAATGTGGTTGATGATCATATAGGAAAGACCAGACATTGTTCATTTAACTGTTGTAATGGTGATAATCAGTGGTGTGGAATATGAACGTATCATTGTCGGTCGCTCTTTGAGATACAATCCAGGCGATTTTTCTATCACGCTCAGTAATTTAATTGGTATTTGTTCATCTTTAACTGATTCACGTTTTTTCTTAAATGAATTGATCGTATCATTTAACATACAATGTACGTGTGCATATACGCATTTATGTATTTATATCATACATGTATGTACGAGGGCAATAAACACTATGTGCATAATTTGTTCATTCAGTATTAATTTCACTAAGTATATTGTTTATAGTTTTTTTTGAAAGGAAAAACCCTAGACAAAAATTAGGGAAAAGACCACAAAGAAACGACTGAAGCCTTATCTCTGAACTCCTGTCCAATTTTACAGACCTAGATCTGTTGCGTAGTATATTGTTTATAGTTTAACATACATTGTTCACCTAGTGCAATAAGGCCCCGGGTCTGGTATATGATAAAAAATAGTCCATCTGTCTCACTATAATTGTCACATTTTTCATTTTCTGTCTGTCCCACTAAAATTGTCTCATACCACATTTGATAATATTTGTGTGGTTCTTATTCATTCTTACTTTATTATTAATACTTTATCAACTCATATCAATCACATAACTCTATTTTTCTTAAAAACAATATCACTCTCTTTTGATCGAAAAAAAAGAGTCATAGGTAGTACCACGTAAATTGTAAATTAAAACTAAAAAGTACTACTGTACTAGTCTATCGCCGTGTATTACTTGGTTATGTTATATGAGAAATGCTATTGGTGCCCCAAAATGGGGTACCCCATTCTTACCCCGGCCTATTGTGCGGCCATAAACGAGGCAACACATTTAAATAGTACTTAAATGTGTTGCCTCGTTTATGGCCGCACAATAGGCCGGGGTAAGAATAGGGTACCCCATTTTGGGGCACCAATAGCATTTCTGATGTTATATTAATGGAATGACACTCCCTTTTTCTAAAACTGGAAAGTGAGAGTATTTTTTCTTAAATAAAGCACTCTTTAGAAAAAATGAAACGATTATCCACCTCAATTTTGTGTATTTGTTGTAGTTGGGTACTTATGTAGGGCTGAGCACCGGTCTTGGACCTATAATAATGAACCGAAGACCGGACCTATATAATTCTGGTCCAGGACTGGACCAGATAAGATTATTCTGGTTTTTCCGGTCCGAATAGTTTTGATTGCCCAATGTTCTGTGAGCCAACACTGGGATACTAATAGCTTGAAATCTAGTCTAGTTACCTAATAATAATACGGAGTAATAATAGTAATTTTGAATTAATATTAACTATTAAGTAAAGGGAGAATTCTCAAAATATGATTAAAAACATTTTGCAATTCGAAAATATGAGTACTTCATTTTTTTTCTCAAATATGAGTAATTACTGTTAAATAAACTTGATACTACGTATTACTCCCTCCATCCTGCTAAAATTGTCCCAGACACTATTCACTTCAAATCACTTTTAATCTCTTACTTTATATATCAATTTTTTTATCAAATTTGATTCTGGTTTTTGCGATTTTGTAATTTCTGAGTATATAATTTTTTTTCTAAAAAAAATTTGAGCGTGGATAAGGATCCGTTTGCTTTATCGTCAGTCAAGCATTGTAAACCGAATTGTCCCAAACATTGTGGGAGTATTTATTTTACTATTTCATATTTTGGTCTAACTAAAATCAATTCAATTAAGCGCATCCTAATTCTTCTTAATCACGTGGGTTGTAGGTTATAAAGGAGAGGAGATTCAATTTGAATGGTCAAATCATAATGTAACGATAATAGGATGGGCTCAAAGAAACCGGACCTGGTTTGAGGCCTGTATACACCTGCCACACAACATCATTACAATGGGTGTCATCGAAACAAAGTTTGACGATGAACGAGGTATCCTTTACATCAAGTTATCAAAACATGCGATTGACAAAATTGATCCCGCAACAACCGTATCGGTTCAAGAACTACTTGACAGGCAAACCCCATCGTCAAGCGGCGGCGGAAGAAAAGATTCATCACAAAACAACCATACAAAGGGCGGCGGCGCAACAAAAAAGCGCATAAAAGAGGCAGAGCTTACATGGCAGGAAGATGACGAAAGATCATCGTCATGGCGGGTCTTTGAGAATCTGAAAATGGGTTTGAAGATTATTTTAGTCGTTATCGTGACTCTTGGTTTATTTAGACTGATTGAAATACAAAAAAGAATCAATCAGTAATTTAAACAAATCCTCAGTCGTTTAAATTGCAAGCATATTAAAAAAATAAAAATATTATATTACGGAGTATGTTTCGTTTTTTGTTTTTATCCTCCAAACAATGAATAACTTGTACGTGCGCAAACATGAATGTTTTCTTTTGGACTGAAATTTGCTGGTCTGGTCTGGTCTGGTCTGTTTAAGTCTGGTCTGGTCTGGTCTGGTCTGTTTAAGTCTGGTCTGGTCTGGTCTGGTCTGAACTGGTCTGGTAAACGTCTGGTCTCTGTGTATTTTATAACTACGGAAGTCTGGCCTGGTCTGGTCTGGTCTGTTTAAGTTTGGTCTGGTCTGGTCTGTTTAAGTCTGGTCTGGTCTGGTCTGTTTAAGTCTGGTCTGGTCTGGTCTGGGACTGAAAACAGTCCAAAAGAAAACATCCCAAGTCTGCAAGAAAAAGGCAAAAACTATGTAGATTATGAGCCCGTTTGGAGAACTCTGTTTTCGGCTTATCAGGCTTATCAGCCAGCTTTTTCACCAAACACGTAATTTTTACTTTCGCGCGCTGAATTGTGTAATAAGCCGAAAAAGTAAGGTTGGAGTTACTTTTCTGGCTGTATTGGCTGAAGTTACTGTAGAGGACCATTTTAGCTATTTTTACATATAATTTTTTCTTTAATTTATTAATAAAATATATTTTTAAAATATTTTTTTCTTAAATCAGCAGAATCAGCCAAAACAGCCACTCCAGCCAGAATATCATAAATTTCAGCAGAATCAGCCAAAACAGCCGATTTTGGTGCTACCAAACGGGCTCTATAGCTTTGTACCAATTTAAGAAGAGAATGTTTTTTTTAAATCAAGTAACGAATTTATTCATTAAATGATAACAAATATACAAGCATATGATAATAGTCTAAGGCTACAATGAGATGCGACATAGAACGGAAAAGATCCAATGAATCCTTCCAGATCGCTAACTCCATTATAATGTAGTCTAGTCTAACAGATTCGCTGCTCTTCTTGCTACCCCACAGAGAAAATAAAAAATTACGACTATTAGATCCGGCTTCACCAGCCACAAAACAGAGAATATTGGTTTGACTAGCTATCAACAAATGAAACTCAATTGACCAGCCATCGGTTTGACTAGCCACCAAAAATGAGTTCTAGTTGAGCGATCTCTTTTCCAGAGCTAAGTAAGGCGGTGGTCACTACAAGAAAAATCATTTTTTGCGTCGACAAAAAGTCGACACAAAAAGTTAAAAGTGGACGCAAATACTTTATTTGCGTCGACATGTGGACGCAAATGGGTCGACGCAAAAGCCTCAACGCAAAAGCATTATTAGCGTCCACTTTGGTCGACGCAAATACATTTTTATTTTTTGCGTCGACATTGTCAACGCAAAAGGCGTAAATCTGAAAAAAATAAAAAACATCATTTGCGTCGACGCTAAAAGTGCTTTTTTTCCAAAAAAAATAAAAATAAAATATAATCACAGGATTTTCGTATTAAAAATACTGGTATACAGAAAATGAGTAATCTCATTTATTAAATTAAGGGCATTCATCATCAATCAAATAAATTTGGAAAAACTAACTACCAATGTGTTAAATAGTTTTGGCATAACTCATCGAAAAGAGCACATATACAAGTTCAAACAGCCAAGCATGGATAATAACATACTAAATTAAATTAATACAATGTAAAATTGCTATAATGTAAAAAATACAATCAATGACATATTCACCTTTATATTATAGGCCTAAAACAGGATTTTAAACCTATGATATAAGACAAATGGACAGGATTTAAAACCGCTCTGGAATAAAAGTCATGGATTAGAGCACTACCACTTGAAACTTCAAATAGAGGAAAACCTATCAATCCAAAAAAAGTGGCATCAAGTTTCAGCAGTTACTTCTCAAATGATGAGGAACATAGCAAGCATAATGGAGACAAAAATGGAAAAACACATTAGGATTAATCAGACCGAAGAATCCTAATTCAACGCCTCATTGTATTGGGAGGAAAGTGTCTGCAAGAACATCAGGATTAATTAGTAATGATTTTAATTCATGGATCCACAAATATGCATTCTGTGAATATTTTAGTTATAAGGAGTGCAAATGTCACTGGTTAAGTCATTATAGTCTAACTAACTACACGCTCTTGATTCTGTAAAAAAATGAAATAATCCACTTGAAATGCTTGCACCGTGCTCATATAAGGTAGTAGTTATAATAATCATTTATTACAAGAACGATATAGTAAAATTAACATGCAAATCATAATATAGTACTTGTAGAAAAATTATAAGTTGCTAAAAATGTTGCACCTTTTATCTGAAGTTCGCTGATTAGGTCATTAAGGCCACCTTTGGTCATCAAGTCACTCTGCAGAAGAAGTGTTTCCTAATTAAGGAATTGAAAAAGGAAATAAAAAAAGTGTTAATGGTTCCACAAAACCCACTTGCATTGATGTATCAGTAATGGATGGAAATTTTAAAAGCAAATAATTACATTGAACATTGCTGCATCCAGGATAATCCATTTTTGCATCCAACACGATACGCTCTGCTAAATCAAAGTCCACAGATTTATATCAACATAAGCATGATAAATTCCAGTACGTTTCGAGTCCAATATGTCTTTCACATTTACATGATCAAACTGAAATAATAACAACACATTAAATTCTATTTCACCTGTTCAGGGTAATGCACCTTGAGCAATTAGGGACCTCTTCTATATAAGTAACAAGTCCAATAAGCCAATCTGGCAGACAAAGAAGCAAATCCAGGGGATGCAGAGTATAAGCAAATTTAAAATAGAACATAGATTTTAAATGCCAAATTCTCAATAAATTACTTAGGGATTAAGACACAACATTAAAGATTCCGATTAAATTCTTAGTTTTCAAGATGACACGAATTCTCTTCACACAATATGACATTCAATTAAATCCCGAAAAGTCATTGAATTGCATTTCTATTGATAAGTTGTGCTAGCTAGGTAACCTACTTCTTTCAGAATCACAAGGCCTAATCGACTCTACAACTGCATCTCCACCTGCAGCATTTGCACTAAATTTTCCGGCGGTCTCGTAACCACTGACTTTGTATCACACCCATAGTTGTCATGGCGCATGGCGACATACATGGCGCACAGGCATTTTTCCATGGCGATGGCGATGGCGCAAATATGGCGTCGCCACGTGACAAAAATAAAAAAAGCTAAAAAAGTGAATTATAAACACTACAATTGTATCCCCAGCCACCAAAATATGATAAACAAGTTGAATAACAACATTCTAACCAAAACATGTGACATTCAAATAGTTTAAAGTAGTTCCAAAAACATAATATTAAAAAAAAAAAGCTCCATGTCTTTCAAAATATATTAGCTTTTTTTTGTTTGATAATTATTCCATAATCATCATCAATTGTCACACTCCTCAGTTCTCATCACCTTGGTTTGCTAGCATCTTTATTCATTTTATTTATATATATAACTATATATTTGTATATAACTATATTTATATATATAATTATATATTGTATATAAATTAGAATTAAAACTCACAATTAAAAAAAAATGCAAAAGAAACTTACATTTATAATTGAAAACAAGGTTTAGTAATGAGAATTAAAATTAAAAAACTAATCAAAACAAAAGGTGAAGTATATCATAGAAGGTTATTTTAAAATAGAAGTATCACAGTTAAAACAACAAAACTATAAATACACAACTTAAAAAGATCGAGGACCTGGGAATGGGAAGTTCTGCGGCTCTGCTTCCGCGAGGGACAGAGGAAGGGCGACTCGGTGAGTTCCCTTCGTCTTATTCCTATTCGTTTGATTCCTGCGTGTGACTCGGGTATATGACTTTGGCTTGGGTATTAGTCTGGGCTTGGGTATACGACTTTTAATATTAAGCCTAAAGTCTTAATTAAATTAGCTTGCTAAAAAATTAAGGCCTCAATTTATTTTATCTTGTTCTGGGCCTGCCAATGCGGTTCTACTTGCGAATAAGGTAAGGATTTGTTCGCTCAACGCCATGGCGAAGGCGCAGGAATGGCGAAGGCGCAGGAATGGCGACGCCATGTGTATATGCCTCGCCACAGGCCTTTTACGTAGCGCAGGGGTGATAAGTGCGCCTCATGGCGCATGGCGCGCGCGCCATTTCACGCCATCGACAACTATGATCACACCATACCCAACTGCAGTATCCAAAATTGGAAAAAGAATACACATATTCAATAAAAAAGATTCTGTACAGACAGAAAGTTTTTTGCGAAAGGTTAAGAGGCAATACCAGCCACACTGGAGGAGTCCTGGACCAGTACTCCTCCATCCAGATAAATGGAGCCTTGCATGAACAAAAACCTAAGAAAACATTGTAACATTACAATAATAAAGATTAAAAACAATCATTAGAGAAGTCAACAATCAGGTTTGGAATTGGAAACGATCACACTAATCAAAACAATTTGAATAATTGACCAAACTTGGCTCAATTGTTATCACAATAGCACTCTTAATTACTTCTAGAAATTAATCCTATCAATTAAACTAGCTAAAAATGAGAACAAATATTTCAAAATCTAGAAGATATAGCAATGATGAAGTAAACAATTGAAAAAAGATGCAATATTTAATGCAAATGATCTTCTGCTACTCTTTCATCAGATGATTTTGATGAAGCAAACAAGACCGCTCTAATTGAATAATTAAGCATCAACCTCTTCATCAGATTATTTGAATGAAAAATATATAATTATTCTGTTAGTCTGATGACAAAAGAATTACGAAAATATTGGTTATGGGGAACTACTATACACTTTCAACATCTTATCCAAAAAGTGCTACTAAGATTGATGGATAAAGCAAATCTAGATGAATTACAAATTGAGTCCTGGACTTCTCTCTGCTTATTAGGTTGATTTAGATCTGAACTACCACTCCCCACTAAGAAAACACATCATACTTCTTCAGGAATAACGTATGGCAGAAAAATTAAATCAATTCTCAGAACTTGTTTGATTCATAAGAGAAGTGTAAGAAATTAGTAAAAGCATACCAGATGGAGGAGAAGACATTATATTGAGGTCAGTCTAGTCGAGGATCTGCAGAGGCGTGTTTGCTCCCAGCGCGATGCGAAGTGGTGTTCGAATCGCTTGTCGTTGGTGTTGTTCCTGCGACGGCCGATGTTTATCGCCGGTCGTACATGTGCTCGGCATTTTCTAGCGGAAGCCTGCGATGTCCTCTCAATCGCCACCCCAAACATTCTCCCCGCCGGTGCCGGCGGGCCACTATAGCTTGAGAGAGATTCCCTTGATGAAATTCCTCTGCTGCGGCCATTTGTGATACGAGTATGTAAACACTAGGGTTTTGTTTTGCGCTGAAAAAACTCTAATTCTTCGTAAATACTCCCTCCGTCCCGCTATGATTGTCCCGTTTTACCTTTTCGGTCCGTCCCACTAAGATTGTCTCATACCTTATTTGGTAAAGTTTGTGTGGTTCTAAATCATTCCTACTTTATTCTTACTTTATCAATTCAATACCAACCACATAAACCCACTTTTATTAATAACCGTGCCACCTTCTCTTGTCCCAAACTTAGGGGACGGAGGTAGTAGATAGTACTGGGGAGTATTAGCGTCAACCCAAATGACATTTACCGATAATTTTTTAGTATGTCTTTTTGTGTCCAAATGTTGACGCAAAAGACTCTTTATTCGTGTCCACGTGTGTCGACGCAAATACTTTGGACGCAAATAATACTTTTTCTTGGACGCAAATACTGTTTAAGTCTGGTCTGGTCTGGTCTGTTTAAGTCTGGTCTGGTCTGGTCTGTTTAAGTCTGGTCTAGTCTGGTCTGGGACTGAAAACAGTCCAAAAGAAAACATCCCAAGTCTGCAAGAAAAAGGCAAAAACTATGTAGATTATAGCTTTGTACCAATTTAAGAAGAGAATGTTTTTTTTTTTAAATCAAGTAACGAATTTATTCATTAAATGATAACAAATATACAAGCATATGATAATAGTCTAAGGCTACAATGAGATGCGACATAGAACGGAAAAGATCCAATGAATCCTTCCAGATCGCTAACTCCACTATAATGTAGTCTAGTCTAACAGATTCGCTGCTCTTCTTGCTACCCCACAGAGAAAATAAAAAATTACGACTAACAGATCCGGCTTCACCAGCCACAAAACAGAGAATATTGGTTTGACTAGCTATCAACAAATGAAACTCAATTGACCAGTCATCGGTTTGACTAGCCACCAAAAATGAGTTCTAGTTGAGCGATCTCTTTTCCAGAGCTAAGTGAGGCGGTGGTTCAGGCGGAGGACGAGTAGTTGGAGCTTGAGAAGAACTAGGTTGAACCTGTCTTGCCAACCATGAATAATGAACCACTTGATCGGTTACACCGACGAGAAAGACACAACCTCTAGACATTGCTAGGAGAAGAACAAAATTCACGCTCACCTGAAGCGGACATAACTCTCGGCCATAGAAGAAGCCGGATCACAACCAACATTATCCTAGAAGGTAGAAATAAAAAAGAGCAACAACATAAGAATTTTTTCTTATTCATTACCGCCCATAGAATGTTGCCATCATCGAAGATTGTTGTGAAATCAGAGAAGAGAAAGCCAACAGATTAAATTCATCCAGCACTTCGCCACCTAGGGTCTCTTAGGGATGGCTCTAACTCTCAAAACTTTGGCATAACTGAAAGCAGCAGTGAATCGGTCAAGGAGAGGGTGTTACTAATTACTCCTTAACTAATTACTCCTTATAAAATAAGACGGCACTATACGACAATATATATTTAAGTAAAATTAATGTTTAATTGTATAGCAAACTAATTACTAATATTTGCTTGCTTTATCACCAATATATTTTTTGTAGACCCGACTTTTATAAGATTTTAGATTACGAAGGTCATACAAATTCCAAAATTGAATCACCCAAAATTTGGAAAGACATTTTTTATTTATTTAATAACTCCAAATACAAATATGTAGGCTAATTTTATAAAAGAGAAAAACTGAAAACATGATTCTTTTTTATATCACCTTTCATTTGCCTTAAAGCCACACGTAGCAATAGTTCAAAAGTAGACTGCATCACTTTATAAAAAAGGAAAAATTGACAAGAATAATCTCACTTTTTATCGGTCGTCTCATAAAAATCCTACATTTACGTAATCCCATAATAATCTCACCTTTACGTAATTCCAGAATAATCTCACATTTGCATATTATATTCTTTATGACCTACTATATGAGGTTTTTATCCTTTCGTTGGACCCCTGACCGGTTGAGCAAATTTTTGAAAGGTGGAATTATTTATGCAAGGTTTTCAAAGAAAGGGTAAAAAATCAGATATAGCAGGTCATCAACCATTCAACCGATCAGTGTCAACGAAAGAAGATTGGGTGCAAATGTGGGATTATTTTGGGATTATGTAAATGTGAGATTATAATGAGAAGACCGGTAAAAGGTGAGATTATTCTCATCAATTTTTCCTTGTAAAATTCACTAAATGTACCATACCTTTCTCCAAATAGACTAATAAGAATGCTTCAATTGAATTATTTAAATCTAAATTAAAAAGCATCTAATGATTTGGACCAATAAAATGAATTGTAGGTACAGTACCCCATTTTTTAAATGAGTACCGGAGTTGTCACCAAAACAAAAAGAAAAGAAAAAATAACTATGCAGCACTATGATCTCAAGCAACATAGGAAGGAAAAACAAATCACAACATTCCTTGTTATAATCGGCATATTACGTATATGAATCAGATATTCCAACCAATGCCGATCGATTCCCAAATCACAAAAATAAAACTGAATTGGCAGATTAAAGGTCGAAAAGAAACACCTGACTCCGACTCCAAAACCGAATCCAGAAGAAAAACAAGAAACATTCGATCAAAACATAACCATTCGATCATCAACTACCGATTCAATACATAAATACAATATATAGTAACGAATTGCTTAAATGCAAAATCAGATTACGCTGATTCCATTTAATAGGTAGATCATATGACCAGGGGCGAACCTATAAGCAGGGTAAGCACTGGCTTCACCTCAAAAAGTGTTACAGCCTAAGTGGTAGTAGTTTCAAACTTCAAGCACTCCTTAGGTTACAGGTCCTGGGATAGATTTTCCATCAGGCTACACCCAGATTTTTGTTATTTTGGAAGCACTTCTGAGATGAGCTTTTTATTTTTTAATTTCTTCTCTCTGTTTCCGCGTTGGACTGGAGCGTAAGTACTAAAAGTAAGTAATACAGGATATTTAGTATTTGGCCTTTAGAATCAAAATTTCAATTACACCCATGACCCATTTGAAAGCGCTAGACTTCCCCTTTCTTCTTTACTCTTTAGAAAACATCATGCATATCTTCTACCTCTATGTCAATTTCCGGCGGTGCGATTGACTCCTTAGTGCTTAACTTTATTCTAGGTTTTTTTATTTGTCCAATATTAAATCTTTAGTAGTTAATAATTTTTGTTATCATTGTTCAAATTATATTGTTAACAATCAATCTGTTTATCTATTATCTATGTATGAAGTTGCTGAGCACTAGCAAAGTAGCTGTAGAGGATTGGAGCTGCAATTACATTCACTCTACTTCTCAAGGTTTTATTAATTTTTCTAGTCCTAAATTATTAAAACCTTGTTAATATTGTATTCTTCAATCTATAATACATCATCGTATTTCACATATAATGAATTAATTATTTAAACAACTAGGGTAGTTTTACTTTTCTATGTTATTAATTATATATTTGTAATTAGGGGAAAATTACAATAACTAATTTTGAATTTATAAATTACTCTTTTCATTTTTAAGTTAGTATATTAATAATTTTTTGACATATTGTAATGTTCATATTTATAGTGATATTTTGATTTCTACATTTTATGTAGATACAATGTCCATGTATAATTTTGTTACTGTTACAAGACCAAGACGTGATGTAATTCATAATGAAGCTTGCAGGTCTATCTAATACTTTTATTCTCATGTAGTACACTATCAGTGTTATATATGTGCATACACTGAGCCCCGATGCCTAGATCTGCCACTGCATATGACAAAAGAAATATCCCAAATTCAATCGATCGTTTAAGATTGAAACAAAAGTATGAAACAAAAGTTGGTTAAAAAAAAGATTGAAACAAAAGTATGAATACTCCAAATAATTTAATATGGAGAAGGTTCTGATACCAATTGTTGAAATAAATCCAATAATACTTTAATTTTCTTATTGAAATTATCTAGAGAAGCAACTTAGCGGAAGCGTACCTGACTCTATTGGAGATAATCTTTAGAGATCCGGGAGACGGAGGCTAGGGTTTGCGTCTTCTAGTTGATACACACCCTCGGAAGTTATCTCTCTAATGATAGATGCTTAGAAGCTCATCATTAATTAGGGCATATGACATACATACAATTAAACCCAATAAATAATACCAAGTATATTGTGAATATTACATGTAGTATGAGTCCAATAATCTAACACAAGATACTTGCATTAAATTACCTGCAGGATCAGCTCACGTTAAGCAACTCAGACAAGGAATTTTTGGAGGAAGAAACTGGGAGGTTAAAAGAGGAACTCGAGATATCATGGGGTGAGGGGTTTATGTTGTTGGACAATTTGGAAAGCAAGGAGTTGGTGCTTCAGAGTTCATCTTCGTTAATATAATAGAGAAACTAAGGAGTCTATTTCATGCATGGGATTGGAATATCAATGTGAGATTGAGAGCTTGAAGCTTGATCTAACAGCATTGGATCAAAATTGCCTTAAACATAAAAAGTCGCAAGAGCAGACAGCTCAAGGAAATGCATCGTTTCATGATTTTCAGCTTCGCTTCCATATTGAATATTTGGAGAAGGAGAATGCAACTCTTAAGGAACAACTTCAAACATGTGAAAAGAACGTCAAAGTGTTTTGCCAAAATGTGGAAGAGCAATTTCGAGAATGGATAATTACTGTGAAGAATTCAATTCCTAGCTTACATGAAACTTCCTCCATGTGCAAGTATGTCGTTGGGAAGTTTCCTCACACCAAGGAACCACCTTTCTCACACTTCCACTGAAGCTTCCTCCTAGCTTCAACACACCTTCCTTCCACCTTCTTAGTACCTAGTTTTGGTGCTATAAATAGAGAGCTTGTAGAGTCTTTCTATCATCAAGTAAATTAGAATAGATCATCATAGTACAACCAAGTTTGAGTTGTGAATATCCTTGAGAGATATGTGAGGTGTTTTTGAGAGTTTTTAGTTAGAGCTTGTATGTCTCTTCTTTCTATTCTTGAAAGTAATAGAAGAGTTTTTCTCTCATATTAGCACGATCCTGTTATTCCCAACAAGTGGTATCAGAGCCTGGTTGAGCTTTTGATATTTTTCCCAGAATTTTTCCAAACATAATTCTACTGTCTGAAAAAAATCGAGTTTTTCAGTATTGCTCGGAATTGCAATCTGAATATACCGTTGGATTCGTCTCGTTGAGACGAGAAAACTGGTATTTTTTTGGCCACCGGAAGCTGCCGTACGCACCGCCAAACGCTGGCGAAAAACTGCCTGCGTCATCACGCGCAGTACGTGCAGTCCAGAGGTAGAAGACGGATGACGTCATCACTGACGTCATCAGCCAGCCAGAGCTGCGTCAGCGGCACGAGTGCAGTCCCAGCACAGTCAGCCGCCACTTCATCAGTCCATTGCCATCTTTCACTAGAGTCCAGTCAGCTGCCACGTCATCACCACATCACTGCCACGTCACCTGTCACGTCACCGGTCAGTTTTTAAATTTTGAAAAATTGCAGTCTAGTCCCTCAATTTTTGAAAAATTATAATTTCGGCCTATAATTTTTTCGAAAATTGTATTTTGACCCCGAAAGTGCTTACCCACCATTTTTCGGCCGTTCCGGACGCAACGGTGCTGCCCGTTTTTTGACATTCTGCTCCGATTTTTCTCAAACAGAAAATCCAAATTATTTAGAAGGTGAAAATAACCTTTGACGAGTCAACTTTATCTTCCGGAGCTATGATTATGTTCACGGCTACCAATTACACGCTATGGAAACCTCGGATGGAAGATTTCCTTAGCTGCAAAGAACTTTTTGATCTAATAGAGATGAAAGGTATTAATCCTGACCCGGCCAAGTCAACGGAGTGGAAGAAAATTAATAGAAAAACCATTGGTCAAATCTGACAATGGATTGACCATAGTGTCTTCCACCATGTTGCACAAGAAACCAACGTTTATGCCCTTTGGAAGAAGTTAGAAGATATGTACCAGGCCAAGACCGCTAGGAACTAGGCCCTACTGATGAGGCGCCTTGTTAATATGAAGCTCAAAAGTGGAACTTCTGTTGCTGAACATAGTAGTCAATTTTAGAGTCTGGTAAATCAACTATCTTGTGTAGAAATGTCACTTGGAGATGAAATGCAATATCTACGACTTCTTAGTTCCCTTTCTGATAGTTGGGAGACACTAGTTGTTACTCCCAGCAACTCAGCCCCAGATGGAAAACTTACCATGTCCGTGGTCAAGGATGCATTGTTCAATGAGGAGGCAAGAAGGAAAGCCATGAGCACAGATGAGACTCATGCCCTCGTGACGGAGAATAGAGGAAGATCACAAGGAAAACAACAAAGAAACAGTATAGGGAAATGGCAAAGCAGAGGCAAAAGTCAGGGGAGATCATCGGATGGCCGGAAATCTTCTTATACCTGCTACCATTGCGGTATAGAGGGTCACATGAAGAAGAATTGCTACAAATTGCTAGAGGAGCGAGGCAAGAGTAATTCTCAAGCGAAAAACAAGGGTGGTGAAGCGCTCATCACAATCTCAGGTGATGTGGCGTATTGTACTATCAATGATGAAACATGCCTTCACGTCTCAAGAGAGGACACTGAATGGGTGGTAGATACTGCAGCATCCTACCATGTTACTCCCCACAGGTACTACTTCACAACTTACAAAACTGGAGATTTTGGAGCAGTGAAGATGGGCAATTCCAATTCCTTTGGAATAGCTGGAATTGGTGATGTACAAATAAAGACGAGTACTGAGAGCACAATCACTTTGAAGGATGTCAGACATGTTCCAGACCTTCGGCTCAATCTCCTATCAGTGGTATGTCTTGACGAACAGGGGTATGAAAACCACTTTAACATGGGGCACCTGTAAAATGTCATAGGGCGTTTTGACAATCGCTCGAGGACATGTTTGTGGCACATTTTAAAAAATCCATTTGAGGATTTGTACGGATAGCCTCAACATTGCAGAGCAGACTTCTCAGAATCTGTGGCACCTGAGGCTCGGTCACATCGGTGAGAAAGGGTTGACTACCTTGATGAAGAAGAACTTTATCAACATCGACAAGAACGCTGCACTGGGTCCTTGCAGTCATTGTCTGTTTGGTAAGCAACATAGAGTATCATTTACTTCTACTTCAACTAAAAGATCAGAGTTGTTAAGTTTCGTACACTCCGATGTCTGTGGTCCTTTCGAGGTGGAATCAATCGGTGGAAGCAGATATTTTCTGACTTTTATCGATGATGCTTCTCGAAAAGTGTGGGTGTATTTCCTGAAGACGAAGGATCAGGTGTTCGAGAGCTTCAAGACATTTCACGTCTTGGTGGAATGTGAAACAGGAAAGAAGCTGAAATGTATCCGATCTGATAATGGAGGCGAGTACACATCCAAGGCGTTCGATGCATATTGCAGAGAATATGGCATTCGACATGAGAAGTTAGTACCACACACCCCTTAGCACAACGGCGTTGCTAAAAGAATGAACCGGACTATCATGGAGCGTGTCCGTAGCATGCTGAATATGGCTAAACTTCCAAAGTCATTCTGGGGAGAAGCAGTCAACACCGCATGCTATCTTATCAACCGATCACCTTTAGTGTCACTGAACTTTGAAGTTCCAGAGAGGCTATGGACAGGTAAGGATCCTACATACTCACATCTTAGAATATTTGGTTGTTCATCATATGCACATGTATCCAAAGAGCTCAGGCAGAAGCTCGATGCAAGGACTATCCCATGCATTTTCGTTGGCTATGGAAATGAAGAGTTCAGATACAGGTTATGGGATCCTAAGAAAAAAAAAGTGTTCAGAAGTAGGGACGTTGTGTTCCACGAAGATTTGACAATAGAAGACATTGAAAAACCCACAATGTCTCGGAAGTCAAATGAGGGTGCTCAAGTTTCAAATGAAGCACCAAAAGAGGACGAAGTGCATGAAAATAACTCAGAAGCAGAAGAACACGAGGAGACAGAAGAGAGTGCAGAGCAAGGGGAGACACAATCCACCCCGCCAGACACAGATGATGGTAGCTCTTCTCAGATGGTTCCAACTGTTCGTAGATCTGAACGAGGGCATATACCATCGAAAAGGTACACATCATCCGAATATATTTTGTTAACTGAAGATGGAGAACCAGAGAGTTTTCAAGAAGCTGTGTCTCATAAGGATAAAGAAAAATGGCTAATAACAATGCAGGATGAGTTAGAATCTCTGCAGAAAAATCAAACTTATGAGATCGTAGAACTTCCAAAAGGAAAGAAGGCACTGAAGAACAAATGGGTGTTCAAGCTGAAGAAGGATGCAAGTGGACAAGTGGTGAAACACAAAGCTCGATTGGTTGTCAAAGGATTCCAGCAGAAGAAGGGAATTAACTTTGATGAGATCTTTGCACCAGTTGTCAAGATGACCTCAATTCGAGTTATACTTAGCTTGGTAGCAAGTATGAACTTGGAGCTTGAACAGATGGATGTGAAGGAACAAATCTACATGCAGCAGCTGGAAGGTTTTGAGAACTGAAATGATAACTTTGTGTGTAAGTTATCTAAAAGTTTGTATGGCTCTAAGCAGGCACCAAGGCAGTGGAATAAGAAGTTTGACTCATGCATGAAGAGTAAAGGCTACAAGAAGACTACTGCAGATGAGTGTGTATACATCAAGAAACTTCCAGACGGTACCTTCATTGCTCTTCTACTATATGTAGACGACATGTTGATCGTTGGGAAAGATGCAGTGTAGATAAACCAGCTGAAGAAAGAACTCTCTAAGTCTTTTGATATGAAAGACTTAGGACCGGCTCAACAGATTCTTGGGATGCATATCACTCGAGACAGGAAGAATCGCAAGTTATGGCTATCTCAGGAGAAGTACATTGAACAAGTACTTGAGAGATTCGACATGAATGATGCCAAACCAGTAAGTGTTCCACTTGCGAATCACTTCAAGTTGAGCAAAAGAACATGCCCTACATCCGAGGAAGAGATCGGGGAGATGTCAGCAGTTCCATATTTTTCAGCAGTTGGGAGTTTAATGTACGCCATGGTATGCATAAGGCCAGACATCGCACAGGCAGTGGGTACAGTGAGTCATTTTCTCTCTAACCCCGGGAAGGAGCAATGGGAGACAGTCAAATGGATTCTCAGGTACTTGAAAGGTACCACGAAGTTATGTCTTTGTTACGGAGGAGCTGATCCAGTCTTGGAAGGCTACACAGATGCTGATATGGCCGGAGATACTGATAGTAGAAAGTCTACTTCATGATATATTTACACTTTTGCAGGAGGAGCTGTTTCTTGGCAATCAAGATTGCAGAAGTGTGTCGCTTTATCTACAACAGAAGCAGAATACATTGCTGCCGCTGAAGCAGGTAAAGAAATGTTGTGGCTAAAGCGCTTTCTCCAAGAACTTGGGATCCAGCAGAAAGAGTACAAGGTACATTGTGACAGTCAGAGTGCTCTAGACTTGAGCAAGAACTCCATGTACCATTCTCGTACAAAGCATATTGATATTCGGTATCACTGGATACGGGAGACGATTGATCAACAACTGTTGAGACTAATGAAGATCAACACCAAGGAGAATCCATCAGACATGCTGACGAAGGTGGTAACACGAGATAAGCTAGAGCTGTGCAGAGACATAGTTGGGATGCTTGTTTTGAATATGTTTGGAAGGGGAGAATTGAAGAATTCAATTTCCAGATCATATCCAAGTACAAGCAAATTGAAGAATCCAATTCCTAGCTTCCATGAAACTTCCTCCATGTGCAAGTATGTCTCTGGGAAGTTTCCTCACACCAAGGAACCACTTTCCTCACACCTCCATTGAAGCTTCCTCCTAGCTTCAACACACCTTTCTTCCACCTTCTTAGTACCTAGTTTTGGTGCTATAAATAGAGAGCTTGTAGAATCTTTCTATCATCAAATAAATTAGAATAGATCATCATAGTACAACCAAGTTTGAGTTGTGAATATCCTTGAGAGATGTGTGAGGTGTTTTTGAGAGTTTTTAGTTAGATCTTGTATGTCTCTTCTTTATATTCTTGAAAGTAATAGAAGTGTTTTTCTCTCATATTAGCACGATCCTGTTATTCCCAACATATTGGGCATGAAGAAGTGCCAGAGAATAATGCCAGGTAATATATACTCTTTTTTGCTTACATGTGTTCAGTATACAGACGGTGACTTGGAATATGAAAACCTTATCTGAATCTCAGCACCAGTGACTTCATGTTATTGAATAGTACAATTTAGTAATTGGAATATATGAAGTATCCGTTTTGTATGCATGTATTCTTTACATTGACCAGTGAATAATTTTATGAAAAGAAATGGAGATTTAGTGTGAGGTCTTGTTAGATAATACTTCGTAGATACATGGTGTATTTACGTGAGGAAGCTTCTTTATCGGTCAAAACTGTGAAAGTTAGACACAATGTGTATAACTCAAGTCTTTTTCTCTCTTTCTCTCAACCCAAAGCTCATGTGGAGACATTTTGGGTCCTCTCCTTACCAAACTCGCTGTTCTAGGGGCATCCACAGTCAACCGTAAGGATGAGACAAACACGGTGTCTCATCAAATTAAATACAAAGATACAAATCTCTTTTGGCAAAACTTAAGGTATGATTGAGAAGTGAAATCATCTGCTGCGTGTCTGCATCAAGACCATTGTTCTAAAACTCGCTAGGCGCTAGTCGGGCGGTAGAGGGGCGCCTAGCGCCTAGACGGCCGACTAGGCCGATTTTTTCGGCCAACTAGGCCGATTTTTTGGCCGACTAGACCGACTAGGACTCTACGGTTAGGGCCGCCTAGGCCGATTAATCAGTCCGCCTAGGCCGATTTTTAGAACAATGATCAAGACTTGATTATGGTTTAATTATAAAAGTCATATCAAACTTTTATAGAGTTTATATAAAGTGTTGGGTTAGGCTGATTGCAATGGGGGAGTGAAAAACCCAAATCTGAGGTTTTGACTCCCAAAAGAGCTGCAACCCAGAGTAAAAATGGTATACGAAGGTCTCACAGGGAGCTAGTCTGGAGAACTGAGGGGGTTTAGATTTGAGCGGGCAATTGATTCCGCCCTTGGAGCAGATGGGCCCTCAACACTGCAACGCGCCTGATATGCTGAAGATGAAGGGAGTGGCCATCGCTGCTGCGTGAGAGTTCACTGCTTGCCTTGCATGTGGAGATGCTTCGTTTGTAGAATTGTAGCCAATGATGTGGGACCCAATTAAATTTACAAACCTCTTATTTTCTTTAATTGCAATAACTTTTTTATTTGTGTTGTTTTTATTTTTACAAAAAATATATCAAAATTTATAAATTTTGATTACCTTTCATATGACATCAATATTGCATATATAAAATGTAAAAGGAAAAACTGTCAAATAGGTCCCCGAACTTTCATAAAAAAAGTCAATTAAGTCCTTCTATAGGAGATTTTGTCCGATTGTCGAGATTTTGGGCAGTTCCCGGTGGAATTTTTTGCTGAAATTTTTTAGCATCTTATTCATCAAGTCTAGTTTACTCATACCAAATTTCAGCTAAAAATGTAATCGGGAGCGCATTCGAATTAATTCGAGAACGCAAAAATGTGCAGTTATCTTCAAGAATTAATTTGAATGTGTTCCCGATTGATTTTTAGCTAAAATTTGGTATGAGTAAACTAGACTTGGTGAATAAGATGCTCAAAAATTTTCATCAAATAATTCCACTGGGAACTGCCCCAAATCGCGATGGCCGGACAGAACCTCCTATAAAGTTTCAATTGTTTGAGCTTTTTGAACTCAATTTTTTTTTAAATAAATTCAATTGCTAAAATTAAGATCTCCTTGATAATTTTTTTTTTTTTTAACATCATTCAATTATAATTTTTTCAATTAATATGGGAACAATTAGTGGATTTAAATTTATTTAAAATTGAACTTAAGTAGGCATTTTTAATACTTACAAAAAAATTAATACACATTTTTTTTACATCAGAATGTTCGAGTTTTTAAATAATCATTATTGGTAAAACTAAAATTATCACATAAAGTGTACTAAAATAAGTAAGGATTTATGCATTCAACTAAAAAAGTGTGTTAAGTGGATATATTGACGGTGGTGGGTTGCAGAGAAAAATTGAATTGACTGAATGAATACGTATAAACTGGAGGAGAATTAGATTTATTGACGGGTTGGGTTGCGGTTAGCCTTAGGAAGAACTGAAGCTGGAAAGGTTAAAGGCAAAAGAAGAAGCAGAGGATTTAGCTCAGGAAATGGCAGAACTAAGATACCACATGATGGGGTTGCTTGAAGAAGAGCAAAAACGGCGTGTATGCATTGAGGAATTGTCTTTGCTTAGAATCTCAAAGCTGGAGGCTCAGGTATCCAATAATTTTATACATTCTAGCCCAAGGTGCTGATTGAGATAAAGACATGTTCATTTGGTCTGGAATATCCTGGTCTGGCCCGAACCTGATTAGGACCATTAGGTAGTCTATTATGTTTAAGCATAGCCGGGTCTAGTCCGTTTAAGAATATTCCTGTCTTTTGTACGTAGTATTACTTAATGATGGTCTATCCTTCTTTGGCCTGATGTGTTTGAGACTGGTTTTGTGATCAGTTGTGATCTGGTCTTGCTGGCTGGGGTTGATACAAGCCCAAGTGAGCATGTCTTTTATTGTCATTGTAGTACTAAATATTATTATATTAATGAAGCTTGATAAAGAACGAAAGAGATCAGATGAACAAGAGCTTGTGAAAACTATCTCCACTTCCGAATTTGCCCCTTAAGGGTAAAACACCGGTTGTTGCTTCTCGAGGGCTGAATGTGGAAACAAGAGGCTGTTCTTTTTTACTTGCTAAAGAGGGAATGATGAGGTGTTGATGTTCTTTATGTCACCATCCATCTCCAACGCATTGGAGCTTGCATTACTATGTTCTTTCATGGCAAATTTGATAAGACTGTATGTGTAGTACTCGTGGCGGTTTGACAATTTCGGAGGCCCTAGACGAAAAAATATTTACTGTCCCAAATCATATTGAAAATCAGCTATAAATGGAATAAAAAATGTCACAGAGTATTTAACATCTACAAATTCAGGAGTTTACCTCATAAATAGAAAAGTTATACTCCTTCATAATTAAATAAAAGATAATACAACGTAAGAAAAATAAAAATATTATTATAGCAAAGTATATTGGTTTTAACTAAAAATAAAATACATTATGGCTTAAATGGAAAATACATATTCCGTATAAATATGACACCAAGTACAATTTTTTTTTAAAAAAAAACTACATAAATACATTTGATAGATGATACAAATAATTGGGAAGCATATCAATAGTGTACGGAGTAATTAATTATGTAGCATCTAATAAAAATGTCTTAAGTTGAATTGGTATAAAACTCACTAGCAACGTGAACGCACAACTAAGCACCGTTAGCTTGAGTAGTGGTAGGGAGTTTACAATTTTCGAGTTCAGGTTGTAGCCTTGTAGGTTCGATTCCTACGGAGGACGCGTTTGATTTTCTTTATTATCTGCTTCATGCTTCACACGTTTTCTAATTTCTACCCCTTATACTTGTTTTTAATTTTATTTTGGAGGCCCCTTTGACAGCTGAGGCCCAAGGTAGCTGCCTGGCCCAACTGGCCCCAAATCCCCAAACCTGGCCCAAGTCAGGTTTTGATGTCGTCTATTTTGAGAGCCGGTTATGAGGCACGGAAAATAGACAGTGCCAATTATCCATAAAGGCCCATAGTACTTTCAGTTTTGGCAAATGAAAATGTGATCTATGGCTAAAAAGAAAAATAAGTCTCGTGCTTTGATATATATGAGAGTTGTGCATTGTCTATAATAGAAATGTACATTGTCATGAACTAGAAAATTGTGCTAACATTTTGCAACATTCTCAATTTTTATTGGAACAACCTTTCTCACCTTAATCAGAATATATCAGAATATATGTGAGTGTGTGTGCGTTTAGTCTTTTTGTTCTTCAATGTGTCTCAATTTAAACCTCTAATGTACTTTAAAAATACACAAATTTTAATTATTAACAATTGCTACGTATTTAAATAACATTTGAAGTGATTGTCTTTCACACTAGTCAAGCTAAAACATCGAAACCACAACTTTTGGTTAGAGTGAAAATAGGAGCGTTAACTTTTTTTTTTTTTTTTACTACAATTGTAAATGTGGTAGAAGACTATCTTTGTTGAAAGCACAATCAGGCTTGATTGTTGAATTTTTTTGGAGAAAGAATTGAAGCAATTTCTAATTTTTCCTAGACTCCATAGAAATAATTTGTTATACTAGTTATTTCTAATTTTTCCTAGACTCCATAGAAATAACCGTATATCTTACTGCATCCTAATTGTGAATCTGCTAAAATGATGCCTGAAAATGTCTTGTACAATACTGAAAAGAGGAGTATTTGTTGGAATTTAAAAGTCGAAGCCTACGTTTGATTAAATAGTTTAATATGCTTTTATAATAGGAGAAATTTCACTTTGCACCAAACTTTTTGGTTGATAATAGACTTTGAACCTCATTTTGAAACACATATCATTTTGTGAAGAAAAATTTCGGAATGAGTGCAAAGTCAAAAGATATTTAAGTGAAATGAGGTTCAAAGTCAAAGTTTTTTAAAAATGGAATGCAAAGTACAATATCACCCAAAAAGTTGGATGCAAAGCCAAATTCCCCCTTTGTAATATCTCCATTCATCTACGTCTCTATATTTGAGGAAAAAAAGACATGGAATACTTGGTATTAGTTTGTGAATTTCATCCATGTTTTACTATAATTTCCCTAATTCCCTATAATTTCTTTTGACAGAAACCAACAAAAAAAGATTTGTTTTAATTTGGTTTGTTCAAGAAGGGTGAAGAATAGAAAATTCTTTTCTTTTCAAAGAAGAATTCAATGCCTTGCAAGAAGAGGTTTTGGATTATATTGAAATTAAAACACTACATGGCTTTTGATCGACTCAAAGAAAAGACAATAATGTCATGCATCAGATTCTCAATTAACTGAGCCACAAGCTAAGCCCTCTTCCAATCCCCTTCTGCATTGATCCTATAAATAACGGATATTCCAAATGTGTTTGATGACCATATAGGAAAGGACAAACGTCTGTTCGATCATTTAGCTGTTGTAATTAATGGTGATAATCGATGGTGTGAATTATGAACGTATCGCAGTTGATTCCTTTGTGATTGATAATCGAGATGATATTTCTATCACGCTGTATAATCTAATTGGTATTTGTTCATCTTTAACTCATTCACGTTTTTTCTTAAAAGAAATGATCTTTTCATCCTGTATACAATATGTGTGCGTATATTCTCACAACACACACAGATATATGCATTTATGTACTTGGGGGAGAGTTTAAAGAAAAAGTGGTGTTCTCTGCGAAATTTGCACTTTTTCATGTTTCGCCTGAACTTTTGCTTGTTTCCGTTGCACTCTTTTGCCAATGCGATTTTGGCCAAATTCGGTCAAAACCACGGTGACAATTTTGTAAATAAACCAATTTTTTCGCGAAAAAGTGTAACGTAAAGAAGCAAAATTGCAAGCGAAACATGAAAAAGTGCAAATTTCGAACTTTGCACGGGAATATGTCTTTTTATTTGAACTCTTTCCAAGGTACTTATATCATACATATATGTGTGTACGAGGGCAATAAACTCTATGCAGTTTAATTTGTTCATTAGGTATTAATTTCACAAAGTACATGGTTTATAATTTCATACATTCTCACCTAGCGCAATGAGGCCCTACGTAAGGTATGATATAAACTAAATTGTAAATTCCAAGTAAAAATACTACGGAGTAATACTAATTTTGTATTCATGGAATGATTTTCCCTTTCTAAAAAGGAAAGTAAAAGTAATTTTTCTTAAATAGACCAGACAAGTTCACAAGACCATACCGGAGTTAAACAGACCAGACTATAGGGTCGTTTTTTAGCAAGTTCAATTGGTCATCTGGAACAGGGCCCGCCAATATTGGGAGCCCCGAATTTTAATATTAATATTGCAATATATTTATATTATAAAATATTAATATTAAAATTTTAATATTAATATTGCAAGTATATGTAGTTATTTAAAAGTCATGTTTCTATCTATATGAACACTTGAACACAATAAATTTTGTTGAACTATGTGAGTTGTTGTCATATTTTGATTGTATTTTTATTCATATATGAGGCCTCAATTTTACATTTGAAACTAGAGCCTCCAAATTCATTAGACAACCTGGAAACCTAGACTAAGAAATTTTACATGCCAAATTTATTAGTGCTTAATTTTTTATTTATTTATTCATGTGTGTTGTAGGTTATAAAGCAGAGGAGATTGCATTTGAATGGTCGAATAGTTACGTAAGGATAATCGGATGTAGTGAAAGCAACCTTACCTGCTTTGGGAACCGTATAGACCGGCGACGCGGAATTTTCGGAATGGGCGTCAAGGAAATAAAACTTGACGATGAACAAGGTACCCTCTTTGTCAAGTTATCAAAACAAGCGACGACTCACAAAATTGATCCGAGAAGAACCCTAGAATTGGTTCAAGAACTACTAGACCAGCTAAGCCCATCATCAAGTGGCGGCAGAAAAGATTCACCCCGAAGCAATCGGAGAAAGGGCGGCGGCGGCGGCGGCAGCACAGCACAAAAGCGCATAAATGCGACAGAGCTTGCATGGCAGGAAGATGACGAAATATCATGGCGGGTTGTGGAGAAGCTGAAAATGGGCTTGAAGATTGTTCTAGTCGTTATTGTGAGTCTTGGTTTATTTAGACTGATTGAGATACAAAAAAGCATCAATCAGTAATTTAAACAAATCCTCAGATGTTTATATTGCAAGCATATAATTAAAGAAATAAAGTATCATATTGTGTTTCGTTTTTTTTGGAAGTGTTTCGTTTTTTGTTTTTATTCTTCAAAACCTGAATAATTGTAGTATGGTAGATTCTATGGTACCCAAAAGCGGCAAAAGGTAGCATACCTTTGTCCACATGGACCAATCAGAATATTGCAGTTGAAATATTTAAGTCTAAATTAAAAATGATATACCTACTTGGACCAATCAAGAGAATGATAGGTACGGTACCTCATTTTTTAAATGGGTACCGGAGTTCTCACTTTGTAGTATACCAAGTACTACCTCCTTTCCACTCGGGGCAGATGCACCCTTTGGTAGTAGGGGCACTTGCCCCCAATAATTTTTCTTTTATATTTGTAATTATGGTATTTTAATTTTGTAAAAAAGTAGATTGCCCCTATTAATATTTAGGGGTTTTGACATGAATATTATTAAAAATTAGGCATTAATAGACATAAAAGTTACCTTTTCTTTTAATTTCAAAAAATGTGACTAATAGACAATTACTTTACTAAATTAATCTCCTAACTATTTAGCACCGCATGAGGATGGCAATTTAACATACCCTGTTTTTCCATCGCATTTCATATCAAACACGCGCACCCTCATCTTGCTTAACTTTTGCTTAACTTCTAAACAAGCTTCTAAATTACTCTACTACGTACATCGGTACATAGGAGCAAAACACTTCGTAACAATGCATTTTGTAAACTTTGATTTTAATATTCTTTCTTTATATTAAAAAATTGAAAATAGCTTAATATTTGTGCAAAAATTGAAAATGGATTTTGAGAAATCATTTCAAAGCTTCGGCAAAGGCCGCAAAGTCTATCATCAACACTTAAATTTCCTACGCTCCATTGACCCATTCGCATTGATTTCTATGGCTAGTGATAAACCACTAGTGACTCTAGCGAATAGTGACTCGTCACCTAAGTGATAAATTAATAGTGATCATTGCTCCAATAATGACAATCGCCGCAATTAATATCGCTTCAGTGATCATCGTCTCAGTTACTATCGCTCCAGTGACCACCAACTCAATTACTACCATTTCAGTGAAAGTTATTACAGTCTAGTGACAAATGTCATGATAGTGACCATTGCCTACTGACCAACGTCATAATAACCACCGCCTAGTGACCAATGTCATAGTGACACGTCGATTTTTTGTCGACGCAAAAAACAGTTTGAGAGAGCACCAAATGATATAGTATTAAATCTTAGAGAGAAGTGAGAGCTGAAGAGAGAAAGTGGGCAATTAATATTCTTCAACCCTTTATAACTACCCCGATGAGAGTATTTATAGGGAAAATGTGGATTTGGGCTCCCAAGTCTTGGGCTTGGGAGGCCCATTACAAAATAAGGCATCTATTGGGTTGTACACATGATTTATTTGACCAAGTATAAAATCTATTTTGTCGGGGCCTTTTTGGCCGATGGAGGACCAGGCCGAAGGAGTCCCTGGCCGACGGAGGACTAAGCCGAAGGAGTGCCTGGCCGACGGAGCACCAGGCCGACGGAGGACACGGCCGACGGAGGACCAAGTTCTGCTCTCAGGCTTCTGGACCATATTCTGAGTTGATAGGTGTTTGGCCGACGGAGGACCATCTGGCAACGTAGTACCACATGGGTGTCAGTCTTCTGTGCCTAATCCAGGGGCGGAGTGTCACGCCCCGGACCTACTGGACACGTCAACAACCCACCGTAAAGTGCGAATAGTCAACCGCAGTCCAACTCATCCATACAATACTAGGCGTCTTGAATACCATTCACACATAGTACATCCATTGTGACACCGCACCCAGATGTACTTGGATTTGAAAGTTGATATGTATTTGAATTTTTCTAGCGAATAAAATTCGTGTAATTGATTGGCATATTTATTAAACCGTCAACGGGAACCTCCTAGTGGGACGGGGTACTATTTTACTTTACTTTTGGATAGATAATCATTATGTTAGACTTCTAAATCATGATGCTGGTGAGTTGGTCTATGACAAATTGGCTGATTGTAAAGAATTATATGATGCTGAAAGTTTATGTCAAAACATCCGCACGAAATTATACTGCCTCAGTAAATAATTGTTCATTTATTTGATTCTTACTTGATTTATCGTAAATTACATGGTACAGCCGGTTGTACCGTGCGCACGGTACAGCCGGACTTTTAGTTCGCGAATTGCAGGCTTCCATCGCCGGCTTCCGGCATCGCAGGCTTCTGTCACAGGCTTCCATGGCAGATCATCTTGCTCGCCGCCTACTAGCACCTCTCCCTTTTTCGACAACCGCAACCCTTCAACAGCTCTCCCTCTTTCGTCCTTAGCTTCGTCTTTAACTTCGCACGCTTTGCTCCTGTCTTTTCCTTTTTCTTTTTTTCTCGCACTGATTATTTTAGTTTGGTAGTTTTTGGGTCAGGGATAACCTAAGTTGTACGTAATTCTAAAGATATGAGCATACACAAATAAAAGTTTGAGCATGGTGGTGATTTTAAATGAGCCTAAAAGAAATGAGTATACGCCTAAAAGAAATGAACTCACACAAACTCATATTGAACACATTGAAAATGAGTTTCATGTAAAATTGAAATGAGTATAACTCCCAAAATAAATGAGCATACACAAATGAGTTTTTTGAACGCTCATTTCGTAATTTATGTATACTCGTTTGATATTAGTACAATACTCTTTTTAAAATGTCATATTCATGCATATTTCAAAATGAGTTTTAAGTTAAATTCAAATGAGTATTATGCCCAAAATGAATGAGCACACAAAAATGAGTTTTTAATATTTTGATACAAATTTTGTAAATTATGTATGCTCATTTGGTATTGTTTTATGCTCATTTCAAAATGATGCACATATCAAATATAACGCCCAAAATCAATGAGCACACACAAATAAAGTTTTGAATTTTTTGATACTCATTTTATAAATTATGTATGCTCATTTGTATGCTCATTTGGTACTGCTTTATGCTCATTTTAAAATGATGCACATATCAAACATATCATACTACATTAGATTCACATATTGAAATTAATTATAAACATAATTTAAGATTTTTAATTTTTATAAATGAAAAAATAATAAAAAGAAACCGAATTAAAAAATATGAAGCAGAGATCACTGGTGCTCATTGTTAGTCTTTTAATACTCAGAAGAACAGGCTCGATGTTCATCAAAATTACATCAATGCTCATTTACGAGAAACCACGAACTTCGTGAAAATTACAAAACTGCCACCGGCTGTACGGTGTCAGCCGTACAGCCGGCTGTATGGTATACGCTTCCATAGGAATACGGCCAATAGTACTTTATAAAATACATAAATATAATAATCACAAATTTATGATTAAAATGAAATTTATTTATGAAAATGTGACATACAGTAGTGTTAATAAGTATAGTGAATATACTACGGAGTAGTAATTTAGTCATACATAGTGTTAATTTGTGTTTGATCTTTACACCAAGTAATCATGACATTATATGTACTCCTAATAACTTTATTTACTTAAAACTTATTTATTTACTTTTCTAAAAAAACTTTATTTACTTCTTTGTAAATAAGTTTATTTAAGTAATCTATTTTTTTAAATATAATCTCTAAAGTAAATACCCCATCCGTCCCATTAGAAGGTTCTCACTTTCCTTTTATGGACGTCCCATATAAAGGTTTCCATTTCCGTTTTAGGAAATAATTAACAATCTTAAATGACAACTTAATCATTAAAAAATTAAAAATAATACATTTATAACATCACAATTATCAATACTAACTACGTTATACGTAGTAATATGTACCTATTAAAATTATTTCTCAAAATATTCTTGAAATACTTTTTTAATTGTTGATTAAATAACTGTGTTGTTTTATTATGAGAACCTTCCAAAGACTTAGTACCAGTGGGCATAGCTCAACTGGTAGTGAGGGAGTGCCACAAGGGTTAGGTCCCGGGTTCGAAGTCCGGCAACGTACTGTGATGAGAGGTTACTATGCTAAAAATGCATAGGGCCTCTGCAAGTACCGTGGGACGGAGCCTCACTCTCCATCTGTCAGATTGTGATTATAATTTATAATCTAATTTAGATTCTCTCATCGTGCCATCCAGTCAGTGTTGGAGGCTCTCAGGGATGATGTGTCATCCTTTCTTTTCCAATGACTTAGTATAACATTTCTATCAAATGTGGGTCACGTGAAAAAACGTGTTCAATGAAAGTCTTGCAATGAGAGCCTACAAACGAAACTTTAGAGAATACAATGAAACACCTCAAAAGAATTTTTTCTATGAGCTGTAAAAAGCTAACACCTACTCGGTAATTTTTTCTACACTACAAAGTTAAAAGTTTTTCCGTCTTTTAATTAATATTGTTCAAAATAAAAATGTTTGATCAATTGGTTTGGCTGACCATTTGATACTCGATCTCTAAATCTATGATAATAAAAAATGTTTGACAAATTGGCTGACCATTTCGTCAATAAGCATTAAGGATTACAATTTTAATGGAATATGAATACAAGTATATATATATATATACTGTATCAAATCTTGTGAAGTAACGCATTTAACAATTAATGTACTAGCTAAGTATTGACTAGGTCTCTTCATGTTCAAGATGACGCCTATGATAATAATATTACACTTGCCTATACTTGTTGTATACTACATTTATAATAAAATACTCTCACATGTAACTCAGTTGATTGAGTGGTGGAAAAATTGAAAGATAGATAAAAATTAAAACCCCCAATTGTCGTGTAGAGGTTACAGTTCCTGTGTGCTAGGCTAGGCTTTTGGTGTAGACGGTACAAAGTCTACCACCATTGGACTAACCGAGTCACCGTGACTTACAACCTTCCAAATGTCTTACAGAAGATCCAGTGGCACAAATTACAAAATTTCTGAGGATGTGCCAAACTTTCAAGATCCCTGGGCTAGATGACGATCAGGTAGGGATGCTATTAATCCCTTTCTCATTGAGGGATGACGCGCAGAGGTGGTTGGATAGCAATCCACATCACTACATTCAG